GCGCGCGCGTATTTATATGTGTATACGTGCGTGCGTTGTTGTTGTTGCTGCGTCTGTCTGGCATGAACTTACTTTGATAGCAAACCAGCTTGTTAGAGAGAGGAAAGAAGATATAAGGAAATCTAAATATTACATAGATGGATAAACATGCATACATGCAGAAATGGAGACACAGCAACCTACCTTTACCTGAAGGCTTCCGCGGATGGCTGAATAGGTGGATGGATGGCTAGACCTCCACTGTTGAGAAGAAAGAAACAAAGGACATAATAGAATATTATATAGATTTTCGCCCATCTCAAGACGATACGGTTGTTTTAGAGTGATACCTTGTCCACGACATGTATACCCACATAATATACACATATGCACTCACAAACGTATCCGTATACACTTGTATATGTTACAGTCAGAGTGTGAAATCAGTCATTGTGTGAAATGACTAAATGTTCAGTCATTTCATGAAATTGGCTATTCTCACCCGGTGTGCGTTCACCGTTATAGCCTTGGCCAACCAGTGTAGCGTTCACCCTGAACCGCAGAATTCTACACTGTGATAACAGAATTGTAGAATTCTGTGCCGTGAACAAACGTTCCAGCGCTCTTGTGTTACTACTGTTACTGTTAGCCTAAAAGCGTGCAATTTTGTATGTGCACTGTGGGCAGTGGAGAGAGAGAAAGAGAGAGAGAGGAGTAGCGGGAGAACTTCCGGTTTAAACAAAATGGCGACCCGCGTAGTTCGGCTCTATTCGAAATGTGAAATAGCCTTAGCATCTTTGTAGACGATCAAATTTGCTTACTTTTGTGCTATAACGTCATTTTTTCTTAGCTTTTGTCAATTTGATCATCCACACCGATAGACAGTAGTCCGAAATTAGGAAAAACAGGTCGTGTTTCACACCGGGTGAGAATAGCCAACGCTGGCAAGTCTCACCCGGGGTGAGAGGTCGTTCGTATTTTTATTCTCACCCCGGGTGATGATAGCCACTTCCTTCATGAAATGATTGAAATTTAGTAACATATTTTATTCACAGTCTGACTGATTTCAGTCAACTTGTGTAACTCAATTTGTTCAAAAAGACTGTTCAAAGACGAAGTCCCGCCATGAATATTATCTTCTCAACAAGTATGAAATTCTTAAATGTGGTGATGTGCAGAAACTTATAAAGAAACTTTGAACGCCCGGTGAGCTTACAATCTACTACGCCAGCATAGAAGACACATTCAACATCATCAAGAAAGCACATGTTGCGACTGGTCATGATGGTATAAACGGCATATAAATATACGTGTATGTGATATTATTATATAATACTTATAAACAGTAAGGCTTGAACGAAAGAGAAATAGAGAGAGAGAAAGAGAGAGAGAGAAAGAGAGAGACAGAGAGAGAGAAAAGAGAGAGAGAGAGAGAGAGAGAGAGAGAGAGAGAGAGAGAGAGAGAGAGAGGGAAGGGGGGGGGGGGGGGACAGATGCAACTTTGCAGAAATACAGAAGCTGAGTATGTGAGTGTAAAAGACTGGAGGGCGACAAGGGGGCAAATCTCGATCCTTTCCGAATATTTCTTGGTGTTTTGTCGGCCTACTTGCTGTGGTGGACGATGCAAGACTTGTTGATTATTACAATTGGCTCCCTGGAGAATCCCTTCAGCAAGAATGCTCCTGTTGTAATCAGTATATGCTTCCTGTCCATCTCAGACACGCCAATAGAAGAACATGTTTCATAAGTCACCGTATGTTCCTAGCCAGACAGGCTTTTCAGGAGCACGCGAATTTGAATGTCTAAATACCGTACTCTCACGCACGCCGTGTCTCTGTCGCCGTCGTTGGGGTTTTTCTTGTGTGTGTGTGTGTGTGTGTGTGTGTGTGTGTGTGTGTGTATGTGTGTGTGTGT